CTGCTAAAATACGTCTTGGGAAGTCTGATTCCAAGCTGTGATTCTTCAGTTCTCTCACGCCTCGCCTCATCCTCATTCTTCCAGCCTGTATAAAGTCTGCCTCCTTTGCACTGGAATGTGATTTGGTGATAGAGCACTTGCCCTGAATACACGAGGACCTGTCTTTCATCCAGGACACTGAGAGGATATTGAAATTCACCTCCTTTGTAGGGTAAGTTTGAGGACAGAATAAAAGTTTCACTCTGGGATCAGAAACTCTGGATCTCCACTATCTAGGAACAATTACCTTCTCCCCCCACCCCAACCAGGTCTCATTTTCCCCGTTTGAATAAGGATGTTAATAAGAATATAGATAAGAATATAAGCAGTGTAACTCTCTCATGATAGCACAACATAACAAAACAGACATCTTATATGAATGGCACAAAGGTAATTATTCATCCACAGTTATCACTACTCCACTCTAATTATAATTAGTGGTGTGTGTGTGTGCGTGTGCGTGTGCGTGTGCGTGTGCGTGTGTGTGTGTGTAAACCACAGGGTAATAATCAGGTATCTTTATCAATTGCTTTCTACAGTGTGTTGCTTTGTTGTTGTAGACAGTGTCTCTCGCTGAACCTGGTGCCTGCTGATTCAGCCAGGCTGTCAGGCCAGCAATCTCCTGAGATCCTTTTGTCTCTGCCTCCCTGGCACCAGGATAACAGGTGTTCAACACTGTGCCCAGCCTTGCTCCTCTTTATTTTTACAAGGATGCTGGAGATTAAACTTAGGTCCTATGCTTGCATGCCAAGCACTTTATTAACTGAGCTACTTCTCCAGCCCCATTAATAAGAATTCTGATAGTCTGATTGTATCTATGTATATATGTGTGTGTATGTATTTATAATATATGTGCATGCCTCATATGCACATGAGACACTTCATGGTTTTCAAATGCTTACAAATAAATCTGATCCACTCTGCATCCTATTTGTTGGGTATTTAATCTTTGGGGACTGACTTAACCTGTCTATGTTTATGTACCCTGATCCCATTTCCACTGTCAAGTACTTTAGGACAGTGACCCTACCTTATATTCCTCTTTCCCATCCCAGCACAGAGCCCTGCGACACATGTGCACTTAGCAGTGCCTTGCTGCCACGTCGAGAGTTTAGAAACATGGACTCTAGATCCAGAGAGGATTTGAATACCATTCCTGTGGCTTACTAGTTCTATGGCCTTGGAGGAGCTACTTCAACCCTCAGAGATTGGGTTTCCTACATTCTAAAACAGGGATGCTACAAGCACATACCTAATAGAACACGTATGAAGTTCCGAAGAGCCAGAGCGGAGAAAGCCTGGAATGAGCTAAGTCTTCAATAACTATTAACTAAAGGAGGCTGGAGGACTAATCCTTTCTTTTTCAGCCATATCACTTCAGGTCTTTTTCAGCCTAGATTCTCTTCTCAACCACCTTGGTCTGCTCATTCACAGAACGCTCACTGAGCACCCGGCTACTCACAACATGGTAGCTTGAATAAGAACAGCTGCAAGGCCAGCTAGTTCTCTAGCGCTTGGTGCTGGGCCAGTATTTTTATTTGTGTTGCATCCCTCAGCATTCCTCTCTCGTTTCATGAAACAGGAAAGAAATAAAATGCTGTCCCAACATTCAGTCACTGTAGCAAATGCCACGTCCCTCAGGAAGTTATTCAGGGCTGATTTTTGTGCCTTAGTAGTAGAGTGTTGACCTGGTGTGCACAAGGCCCTGGGTTCTGGGCACAGGAAACCAAAATAAAACTCAAAGGTGTTCGTATTTCTTTACTGAAGGCCTTCTAGGGTCCTTAACAGACTGAAACGTGTGACTCTCTGGTGGGAGCAAGTAGAGTTTGCCACACCTCCTAGGTTGTTTGCCGGTGGAATGGTTTATTTCTGTCAGATCTACTTTGGAAAATGTCGTGTGGTTTTACTATTCTCTCCTACCCCTCCTCTGCTCACTAATGTGTTTTAGAACGTAATTCACCCTGTCCTCTGTCCTCTGGAAGTGGTTTACCGAAGCATCTGGAGGCACTGATACTGAATCTTCCATGCATTCAGTAAACACTGGTTGCAACCAGACTGCATTACTGTGAATGATTCTAACTTCTACACATATTTAAAATCCCTTTTGTTTCACCACCAGCAACCCTCCAAAAACTCCCGGGTGACCACAGGGCTTATCAGATGTTTGCATCAGAATCTACAACCTTACTCAAAACTCTTTTATTCCTGTTTTAACTTGAGGCTAGTTTTGCAATCCATTTCTCAGTCTATAGTAGATTTTAAAGAGCAAAACAAAGACAAAAGAGGCAAACTTAAAATTATACACGAGAGTCTGGTCATGAAGGCCACCCTACGTCACGTTGGCAAAATGAGGTGTGGTTGTTGCCTGTGCCATTGATCATCAATTGCATAACAAATGACCAGGAGAAGTTTTCTGCCCTTCCCTGACCTTCTTAGCATACTCTGCCCCAGTTCCACTCAGCCCCTAGGACTCTCTAAGTCTCAAAGATCTGTGTCCAGCGTCAAAATCCCTATGCAGCTGACTTGGCATAATAAAGCCTCCGCTCATCGTTTATCCAAGTAATTCAACAAGAGTGAGAGATCAGGACTACGACGCATTTACATCTAAATGAGTAAATGGCGATCCCCCAAACAGAGCCAAGTTACAATGCTGGGCTGGCAGATTTGGGAGTATAAAGAAAGCTAGAGGCCACACGCCTGAAATCGCTCTGACCGCAGCATCTAAGGTAAGCGCTCAGAAGTGCCTACTTTTTCCCCCACATAGTGGTGATTAACCTAGTTGAGTTACCAGTCAAGAGCAATACAGTCGCCCTTACTACTGAGATCGGCGACATGGCCAAAGTCCTTGCACTTCAAGAAGATATTACAAAGGGAAAATAAACAAAAATTTATACGATTAGGAGACAAAAAAGAAAACTCACCTGCAGAATAAAAACTGATTTTTTAGGTAGATTTATTAATTCAACGAATTAATGAATTAACTCATGCACTTAATAGATTAACAACATGTCAGTGTGTGGTAACTTTGTGGAACTTTTGTAATTACCTTAAAACAGTTTGGCAGTTTTAAGGTGATTTAAATCTCAGATAGCAGGACAAAAATTCCCATAGTACTGTTTGACTTTTAATCCATATTGAACTGCATTTTAACCTGGTTATTACTGGCTAGTTTGTACGTTGGTCTTGCATGGGGAACCGTGTGGATTTTGCACTGGGTCTAGTCTGACAGTACAGTGACAGCCGTTGTGGCAACTCTAGCTTTTGGAAGCCTTTGTTTTCAGACATCATCTCTGCTTGAGAACTTCCTGTCTTGGAACTCATAAGGCTGAAAGGAATCTTGAGGCTTTTCTGGTACATCTGTATCATTTTTTTAGAAAGGAGTGAAAATCCAAAGAATTTTCAGAAGCTACTTGACAGAACCGGCTTTGCCTCCGAGTCTTACATCTCTTGAGCCAAGGACTCAGATACGAGTCAGTGTTTCAGAAAATTTGTGAACTTCAGGATATAACTGAGGCTTAGCAAAGACTTGAAAGCGAAGGAGCAACCAGCATACCAAACCCTGACTGCTTGCTCCTGTCACGAGACATCCCATGAATGGATGCATTAAGTCAGTGTTCGATAAGTGGGAAGTGTGTTGAAATCAAATTTGATGTTAACAGTTTTGCAGAGAACTCCTTGGGATGGTAATGTGCTTCATAAACTCGGGATTTTCTGGATGTCCTGTCTCCACTTTTCTCAGGAGACTCGAGAGTGTCCTCAAGCTCCCTGCTGAGACGGCTCCACCATCCAGTTTACAATCAGATCATTCCCCAGATGCCATAGCCCTTAGCCAGCTGCCAGTCTCCACAACAGTTTGTCAGACTCATGGGATTGCCTCAGTCTTCCTTGTTCAAGACTTATTTGAGCATTTTTCTTGACCCTCACTAAATTTTGAACTCCTGTACGCCGGAGACATTCTATCTTTGAGAAGCCTCTGAAAGAACATACATGCCACTTTCTGCATCCGCAAGTTCCTTTCTGGAAAGAGAAAAGGTGATGTGATTAAGCAACTACAGAGAACTATGAATTAACCCAGAAGAAAAATATACAAACTAGAAAAGTTCTTTTCATCCTACACTCCTCACTGTGTGTCCTTCATGAACACAAATCAGAATAAATATCTTGTGTATATTTTCTTAAAAAAATCTTTGTAGTCATATTTTGTTTTGTTTGTTTTTCCTTTATCAACCCAGTCCTAATAAGACGTCCCATTCCCGAAGGACACCGAGAGAGTCACTCTGGGAACCAAGAAGGTAAGGTTTACTTTCAGTTTGATCATAATGGCAGCCATTGAGTTTAGTAAATACCACCTTACACATGTTCTCTCTTGCCACATATGCGAGAAGCTGAAATCAGTGATCTGAGACTGACCACCAGAGTATTCTGAAAGGTGACGTTGCAAAATTACAACTTTGACTGAAGGAAGGAGAGCTTCCCATGCTTGAACTGTGTTTCTTGTGCTCAGAAATGCTTTGAACGCAAACAACACAGAGTTTCAGTGTGCAAGTTCTAGGCCAGAAACCAGCTGAGACTCACTCTTTACACACCTGGCTAATAGTGACTGACCCTTGGGCACAGTCTTAACCCTTGAATCCACACAGCCATGCCTGTGTCACAAGCAGTAAAGAAAGAACAAGGAGAGATCATTCAAACCTGCTCAAAGGTGGTAATAAAACTCTCCTTATTCCAAACTTCGTGTTTACTGGAGACAATGCTAGCTGCTTTAGGAGCAAAACAGCTAAGGGTCACTGAGTTGTGACCACTCTATGGATGATAAGAAACTGGCTGTGAAATTTCTAAGAGAGGGCTAAGTCAAAGACAATGACAGGGTACACCCAAGGCAAACAGAGGAGCCCTCGGGGGTGGTGACGGAGATTAGCTGGGAGGGCAGACATCTCAATTAGAAGGCCCTTGGAGACAGGAACAGAGCAGGCTGCTGAAAGAGCACAGGGAGGCAGTGTGGGAGCTGGCCACGCTGGAAGAACAGAAAAAGACTGGTTAAGGGACCCTGTGAGGGGAGAGCTCAGGGGCCGCTGTGAGTCATGCACTAAGAGAGTTTGGTTGTATTTAAGGAGGGGATGTTCATGGGGCGAGAATGAATGGTTTTCCACTTGGGTCTCGGCCCTCAGTTGTGTGAGTACGGGGAGAAGATTTGACTTAGCAACCGCATGCCCGGAGAGGATTGAGGGGCTTTACTGGACAGTGAATGGTGACTCAGCAGAGTGGCGTGGCTGCCAATAAACAGGGCCTCTCACCTAGGGCAAGAGAGGTGAGGGCGCTCTGGAGGAGGAAAGGGGGAGGACACGTGGTTTGGATAGCACCCTTGATGAGATTAACAGGAATCCACTTGGGTACAGTGGCGGGGACAGTAAAGGAGAGACAGAAGTACATGATGGAAGAAGCAGATGAAGACGTAATCAGGGTCACGTAGCACAGAGACAGTAAAGCTACAGAGAACACAGAACAGCCAGGGGCAGGGGAAGAGTAATCATACAGAAGAACCTGGATTGGCAACTGACCATCCTAGGCGGACTTTAGGTTGTATGTGAAGGCGTGCAGCCCCATCTGTAAAAGAATATTGCTGAAATAGTTTCTTTGACCCGGGTGATACTGTGAGGAGACACAGGCCTCGAGCTGCAGTTAGATGACAGCCGGAAGAAGGGTTGGGGACAGAATCTTTATCGGAAAACTAGCAGTGATTTGAGGCCGAGAAGGGAAAGTCTAGCTTTCCTAGAAAGACTATATCATTCAGCCGTCAGTCATTGTTCGCTTTTCCCACCTGCAGACTCTGTTCATGCATCGCCCCCCCAGGAGGCAGAAAGAGAGAACCCACAAAATCTATTCAATAGAAATTAAGGGCAGGAGAGATTGCTTGGGGGCAAAGCACTTGCCACACAGGCAAGAGGCTAGCCTGGGCTACTCTGCCTCAAAACAAGGTAAAATTAAATTAAACACCAAGCTAAACTAATGTATTATAATGCGATCAAATAAAAATATTGCTGTTTTCAGGCCCCACATTGCAAGAAGCCTTTGAGACTCTACCGTTTGTCAAGTTTAAAACAGTAAGTATCTAAGAATAATGACTAGGTTATTAGAAAAGATAATTAAAAGAGGTTGATGGGCCCAAATGCTTGTTGGTCCCTTCCTTCTTTAAATCATGCTATGGTCTAAGGAGCTAGTCTTAGAAAATTATATTTATATTTACTTTAACCAATCTGACTGGCAATTAAGCAGACATTGAAGAGATTGCAAAAGTGAAAGAGAACACTGTTCTTCTCTACAGTTTCTTGGTTTTGAAAAATATCATTTTCAAAAATATGCTATTTAGAAGAGATTTGATAGCACCTTTTAAAGAATTCACACTTTTCCTCAATTCTCACTTCTCATCTGATGCACATTGGAAGTACCACCTCCTCACAGTTTTCATTTTAAGCGTATGTAGGGGTCCGAAGACCACTAAGTTGGGGAACCTGCTGCCGTAATGCAACCCACTTAAGTCACAACAGCGGAGGCTTCCTTCGGGGAAAAGGGAGGGAAAATTATGGATCTTTTTATCCTCCAGGAAATAACCAAGACATTTATTTTAAAGCAGCATGGTATCTAGGAGCCTGGGAGCCCTCTTTGAAGGACTATATTAAATCCCAGTTTTTTTCCATTAAATCTTAACCATGAGCCACAGCTAACTTAAAGGAGCCGCTGGCCAAAATAAAACTGAAGTGAAGCTTCATCAGAATGAAGCCCAGAGCTGAGCAAATTCTTCACCCCGAGGAAGGCAGCATCTGCAGGATCACAGAAAGGTTATCTCAACGGTGGCTAATGAAGGGCAGTTCCCCAAAGGCCGGATGGGACGAGAGAGCTGAATGGGCTTGCCTTTACTCTCAACAGAGTTGATAAGATACGAAAACATTAGCGGAAGAGAAATCCAGGAAGATGTGTACGGGTGCTGCGTGTGTGTTGTTGAATTCTATTTTATTTTAATTATATTTTATTTCAGTCACGGGAGAATGAGAGGGGAAAGAAAAGAGGGGAGAGAGAGGAAAGGGAGGTTGAGGTGTGTAGGATACACGAGATTCGAAGAGGGAAGGAAGCAGACAGGAGGACAAGGGTCATGGGTCCAGGCTACACCTGAACGGGGTAGACAGGAGTTGCTTCTTCATTTTAAATAGGATGAGGCAGGAGCCCAGGCAACTTGGCTTGAACAAGGTCACAGCTGGGACGTGAAGATGAGTTTCCTAGCTTGAAAGCAGAGAAAATACACACCTAGCAAGAAAAGGCCAAAGGAATGAGATGACTATAGGAAAGTATGACACATGGGGTGGGGGTACCTTATGAGTGCCCCCCACACACACACATTATGCAGTGGGTTCTAAGACGAGTGTTACTTAAATATTGTTCCAACCGGATAGAGCTTTACACTGTGAGCTTTAAACAGCTGTTTCCGGCCTGGTATTCTCGCTCTAAGTCTAGAACTCCCCTGAGAATCCTGTATAACGCAGGCTCTGAGTCATTTCAGCTGGGCCTGACAGTGCACATTTTCTGATAAAGCCCTGATAGCTTGAGGGCAATGCTTAAACCAAGAAGACAAAGTGACAACGCCTCTCAGAGAGAACATTCTGGACTAACAACAGACACATCACCCAAAAATCTGCTGGGAATATCAGTTTTCAGCTCACTAAATCCCACAGTAGATAGTTGGGGCCCAGCTATCTACTTCAGCTGGTTCCTAGAGTGTCTGATACTTGTTGAAGTCTGAACTGCTTGCACTGGGCCAGCGTGCCTTCTGTTAATTATCCTGTTACCTAAACAAGTGAAACGACACTTTACATTCTAATTAATGTTAACCCTGAGCTGTACGAGTTCTCTATTAGGAATTACTAGCATTCCAAGCTCTATTCCCACATTTACATAAGGGCATGGCACTCAGGTCGCAGGGCTCAAGCAAGATGAGTCATGAGGGGGTGTTTGCTGGAGCCTTCTTTACCGACTACGTGACTGCCTTGAGTTTGCCCGCTTGATGCCCTCCCAAGGCCTGCCTGTAGATCTCTCAAAACATAGCTTTGTTCCAAGAGGCTTTGAATCTCCCTTCACTCCATTGAATAGCAATAACGGGGTGGAGGGTGGGCAGAGTACTTATGTAAACCCACGCCTCACCCGTCCCCCGTCTCCTCAGGCCCCAGCAGTCATGAGTACAGACGCCGAGATGGCCATTTTTGGAGAAGCTGCTCCCTACCTCCGAAAACCAGAGAAGGAGAGGATTGAGGATCAGAACCGCCCATTCGACTCCAAGAAAGCCTGCTTTGCTGTGGATGAGAAAGAAATGTATGTGAAGGGCATGATCCAGAGCAGGGAAAACGACAAAGTCATTGTCAAGACCCTAGACGACCGGGTAAGTGTTTCTCTTGAGTAGTAGCATCCTCACTTTCCTTGGGAGCAGACTACTAGAGATTGCATGCTGGTCCAGAACCATCTGGAGAGAGAACAAAACTTACGTTTGGCCATTCTGTGGTGGAAAAGTGAGATGGGCTACCTACCATCACCACACCTTGGCTTCTGCTTCTTCCCTTTAAGGATTTGGGCTGGAAGGGTTTTGTGGTGTTTGCCTCAGTGGAAAAGAGATTGGTCTATTTAAAGAAGAAAGTGATACTGACTGTCGCCTGATGGGCCAAGTCCATACAAGCTCTAGGCTGTAGGACTCTGACAGTGCAGGCTCAGGGACCCTCATTGGTTTGGAGTGGGTCATCACAATCCACTCTTGAGTTCAACCCTTGTTGGACTTGTCAGATCTCTGCCGTCATGGCAGTCTCTTGCCAATCGATGCCAGCCTTGGTATCCACTTGCCTGGTTTACCATCTAGTGTGAGGGATGTGTGTCAGGGAGGAACACTGTTTCAAATGAAGGCACAGCAAACAGATTCTGTTTACATTTTTTATCATCAACCTTAACCTCTGATTCTAGCTCCTTTTCACTGAACTATGGGAAATGAAAACCCATCTTCAGTCATTCTTAGAGTCCCCCCACCTTCAGAACTGTGCCCCGTTTTCACAATCTTACAGAGAGTCACCCTAGACCCACTGCCATTCTGGTGAACCTACCAAGACACGAGTGCCAGTCCCTAAAGCGTCAGAATGCAGAGACCCTCTCTGTCCCCGTGGGCTATCGTGGGTGTCTCTCTATAGGCTCAGGTGTTGAGGTAGAAGGCCTTCTTTCCTTGTGAACTTTAGCCCTCACCAGCAAGCCTCCTTCCCTTAACCTCAAAGCACTTCTGAGAGCTTCGGTTTTAGGAGAATCAAAGGTAGCAAACATTCATGGGTCTTTCTTCTGCCCTACTTTCTGTGTCCCCGGAGAACGAAGTGGAAAACCAATTATATGCTTTAGCAGGAAGCAAAGGTGGAAGTAACAGGGAGAGGTGAAATTCAGTAATTACCTCCAAATACTTCTCAGCCACGAACCATCATACCTGTCCAAATGCTTCACCATGACAGCAGAGAAAGAAGCAATTATCAGAGCTCTGAAGAAACGGGAGAAAAGAAATAGGGCATAAGATGGGGCACTGAGCAAGGCTCCGGGGGTTTCTTTCTTGAGACAACTTTAATGAAGATATTCCAAAGAAGCCTACATATGCAGGGTATTGAGAAGGTAAAGCATAGAACTCAGGAGAAAAGTTCTTTCTAATCTCTGTCTCGTTACAGTACTCAGAGCAACAGGTTAAATCAAGGCAACTTGTCTTGCTTTTCAACTATCTTAAGCCCTATCTGGCAATTCTGAGGGCCAAACTGCTCTTTAGTTTTATACATCTGATGCCCTTTTCTGGCACATACAATGCCAGGATGCCTGGGGACCCAGACCAGAAACAAATCAACCAAGGAATGTTACTGCCAGGTCATCTCTGGTCATGGAAATGATCCATTAAGTTGCTATGGCAATTCCATGATGACTGTGCAGTATCCCACTACGTCGCCTGCCCCAGGAGAGCACAGGTCATTGGCTCTGCATCCATCACTTGCTTTTCCTTGTTCTACCCAGGAACTCACTCTGAACAGTGACCAGGTATTCCCCATGAACCCCCCTAAGTTTGACAAGATCGAGGACATGGCCATGATGACACACCTGCACGAGCCCGCTGTGCTGTACAACCTCAAAGAGCGATATGCAGCCTGGATGATCTACGTGAGAGCATTTTGATCTCTTCCTATTTAGCTTATTTCTCTGAGGAAAAACAAGATCCAACATCTTTTGAATTTCCCACAGACCTACTCAGGCCTCTTCTGCGTCACCGTCAACCCCTACAAGTGGCTGCCGGTGTACAACCCCGAGGTGGTGGCAGCCTACCGAGGCAAAAAGCGCCAGGAGGCCCCGCCCCACATCTTCTCCATCTCTGACAACGCCTACCAGTTCATGCTGACGGGTGAGTGAGCCCTTGGATTCAAATGACTGTAAGCCATTATTGGCCAAGTACTTGGGCCCTTTGCGGACCTCGTTCATTTGAACAACATAGTGGTCGGTGTGAATTTGGGAGTGTCAAGAGACTTGGGGTGACTGACCAAGGATGTGGCACCTTTCATCACAGTAGTCACTGTGCAGGGCAAAGCCAGGGGTCCTAGATGAGGCATTCCAAACTTGTGCTTATTCAGAGGATTGTGGGACACCGCTATCTCATACCCCCCGATTTGCCCCGCTATGGGTACACTTAAAAGATCTACTAACCACCAACCACTTAAGGAATGCCAAGTTCGAGAGGTACAGCTCGCTCCTCTGATCCTTCCTGAGACGTAGACACGTGGTAACACTGCCACACCACTAGGCCTCTGGGCACTCATGTGCTCCACCTTCACCTGACTTGATTTACCACAGATACAGGAAGTGGGCAGTCACGATCAGAAAACCCCTAGCGATCAAATGGCACCTTTACAGTCCTCGCCATTTCTTCAATTTCTTTCCTTTGTATTAATTGAATTTACATGTTTTAAAAGGGAAGATACATGTCACCATTTGTATTAGCTTGCTAAGGCCACTGTGACAGAATGATAGAGGCTGGGCATCTTAGTGAAAAACTTATTTATAAGGATATGCGAGGCAATGAATTCGAGGGCTGTGGTTCGTAGACCATCTTCAGTGTTGCACGGCTTGTACGACATCTTCTTCCTCTCTGCCTTCGTCTTTCCCTGGTGTTCTCCCTATGGGCATGCCTTCACTTGTTCCTACACTATAGAGGCACGTGATGTGGATCAGGCCTCAGCCTGTTCCAGTCTGACCTCATCTTTAAGACTATCCGAGTCTCATTTACATTTTATTTCCAAATGAGGTCACAGTCTGAGGTTAGGACTTCAATATATGGATTTTAGTTTGCCATAATTCTGTTCACACGCTTTCATAAATGGAAAAATCAGTCTTACTTTGTGCAAGTAGAAAATCAAGACCAAAAAATTAAGATGACATTCAATCAGCTAAAAGTTATGGCCTCCCAACAGTTCAGGACCCAAAGCTTGCTTCCCTCGTTAAAAGAAATAGGAGAACATCCCAGCAAGGGTTTCAGATCTACAGACATAGAGAGATAACCTTTACACTGTGGAGTTCATTGCTCAAGCATCCCACTTTCAGGGAATCTGCAAGACTCTCCCACAATGATTAGACAAGCCTACTCCACAGCCCCTAGCAAACGGCAAAGGTGTGTTCTCAGAGTCCTTACTGGGTTGCTTATTTTTAAACTCACCTATTACTATTGAGTTTGGTTTTGCTTGTTTCTGTGTTTCTAGATCGAGACAATCAGTCCATCCTGATCACGTGAGTAGCCCGTGTTCTCATCACAATGATTTCGAACCGGGTACCTTCTCTGCCACTTTCCTTTATCCCACTACTTTTTAATTGACAGTGGAGAATCCGGGGCTGGGAAGACTGTGAACACCAAGCGTGTCATCCAGTACTTTGCCACCATTGCAGTCACCGGAGACAAGAAGAAAGAGCAGCAGCCGGGCAAAATGCAGGTGAGGGGTACTGCGCACCAAAGGCTTGTTGGAATAAACACACCTCAAATATTAGGTGAATGCCAAGGATATGAAAAAGGTACACACAACAGAGACAGCACACTGGAATAGTCTTGTTTGTCCCCAGACATTTTTCTGTAACTGGAGTATTGTGCAATTCAATGAAAAGGCTTACCAGGACCTGACAACTCAGTTTAATTCTGACACTTGCTTCAGGGACATAGCATCGCACCTGACAAGTTAAGGGCTCAGGCTCACAAGCCCCAGTTCACACTACCTATATGCACATCGAACCAACTTCTTATAAGTAAAGAGTCCCTGCTATCTCTATCGCTGCTGCAGTGGCTCACAGAACTCAGGGACTATGTCCCCTACATTTATTGGTTGAGAGGGACGAGGTGCACAGAGTAGTGTACTGGAAGAGGAGTCTGGAGTTTCCACGCCCTTTCTCAGCAGGCCTTCTCCCGGCAAGTCCTCCCCAACACCGGGTTCACCAGTCTAGAAGCTTTCCAAACTCCTTTGGTTAGGGGATTCTTACACAGGTTCCATTAGTAAACTATCAGTGGCCAGTTCAGTCTTTATACTTGCTCCTTAAATCCCCAACCCTCTAAACATACAAAATCCTCAAATGGAGCTGAGGCTTCAGCTCCCAGTCACCACGCACACCAGACCAGACCACACCAGATCACACCACATTGCACCACTTCAAAGACCCCAAGAGTTTCAGAAGGTTTGTGCCAAGAAACTAGATGAAGCTCAAGTTATGTTTCTCTGCCTAAATCACAGTCACGTGGGGAACATGGCAAGGATTGGCACTATGTGGACCTGGGGGGGAGTCTAGAATCTGCCACAGCCAGGTCACCACAATGCTACCCTAATAAAAGTCTCAGCCCACTGAGACTACCCAGGTGGGCTGTCTACACCCCAGTTCTGACCACTAGTCAGGTGACATCCCTCCCCAGACTCTGCCCAGGTCACCCAACAGTTTCCAGTGACCAAACACCCATCCAAGAAGAAAGCCTGAATCCTCAACTTCCTTTCTTCGCTTGTTACTAGGGAACTCTGGAGGATCAGATCATCCAAGCCAACCCCCTGCTGGAGGCCTTTGGAAATGCCAAGACCGTGAGGAATGACAACTCATCCAGATTTGTAAGACCCAGATCAGTTTTCAACTCCCTGTCCAATTGCACCCATCCCTTAAATGCTAGACTCGAAAATTTGCTAGATATACCGGGCCTCAGTCTGCAATTCAGATCAATCGGTGTAAGTGGAATTAGGAAGGTGCTGGCTTTTTCCAGGCAAAGAGAACATTTTGCTTTCTGTCCTTCATAGCATGCTGAGTCACAGCGACAGGCTAGGAGAAATCATTTAGGCCAAAGTGATCTCTATGGGTGGAGGAACTTACTTTTTAATCTCTGTGTGTGTGTCCGACAATAGCAGTGTGTTGTCTTCTCTGTTGCCTTTCTTTCTTATTGCCTCAAAACAGAGCCTCTTACTGAACCAGAAGCTTTCCTTTTTAGCTAGGCTCCTGGCCAGTAATCTCTCAGGATCAGCCTGTCTCTGACCCTCAGTGCTGGGGCGATAGACAAGCTGAGTCACGCCTAGGATTCAGAAACACTTTTAAGAGCAAAAGTTGATTGACTTAGCCACAGGACCCTTAAAATAACCCAAATTAGTAAACTTGACCTTCTGCAAGCCAGGAGACCCTGGGAGGAGGGGCAGCTAGTGAAGGTAGGAGAGGAGACTAGAAACAGAGAATGACTTGGTATTGTCAATACTGAAGGATAGATTCCATCCTCCAGAATTTTGCTTGCGATTAGCTCAACCAAAGTGGTATTTCCTTCCTTGCTGACAAATAAGTAAACATTGGTTCCTCCATGTAACTTCCTTGGCCAGGGGAACAAGGGCTCAGAGGTGAAGCTGGGAAAATCACAAGCATCCCACACACTTCCCTAGCTGGGCAGCCTCAAGCTCACATCCCATAATCTTCCCACAGAGACCAAATGGGTACTGACCAGAAAGTGGGTTGTAAATGGAGGTTTCACTGTCCCACCCCATCCTACAGCTGCTTCTAAATAATCACTCAGAGGCTTAATATTAATTACAGAATGTTTGACCTATACTCAGGCTTATTACTAACTAGCTCTTACTTCTAAATTAACTTATTTCTATTCAACTAAGTATTGTCACATGGTTGTGGCTTTTACCAGTCTTCTGGCATCTTGCTTTTTGGGTGACTGCTGGGGTCTCCCTCAGCTCCACCCTCTCTCTCTCAGTATTCAATTTGGCTTTCCCACCTAGCTATATTCTGCCTTGTTATAGGCTTTTATTGTCAACCAATGAAAGCAACATATATTCACAGCATACAGAAGGGCTATCCCACAGAAGTGGGTGCATCTCTCAGAGACTGTGGCATTGATCCCTGACTCTTCCTTCTTTGGCTATACCCTTTGAACTCAGCTCACTGCCCCATGCACACCTGTCTTCCTTCCCCTCTGGTGGGGGATGTGGGTGTCTGTTATATGTGCCATACACACCTGGATCAAGTCAGTTGTTGTGTTGACCTTAAGTAAAGACACTGCCTTTGGGAACTCTGCCTGGGTGCACCCACTTAGCCATAAAGTCTCTCACTTGGTCCTGATTCAGACTCACAATCATATCTGTCTACTTTCTACCATCCAGACATTTACAGGCTAAGGGGTGACTGATATTGTCCCCCATTAAGTTACTGAATACTGAAGAGTTCTCTAACTTTTCATAGACTGAGAAACTTTTGAGGACTGAACACACTCCACACTGTATAAGGAAACAAATATGCCAAGACTTTTGCCCTCAAATTCACTGGCAGTGTGGTACAGGATCAGTTAAGTAGACGATGCAAGAAAGAAGTATATGGATTGTGCGTACATGCTATCATTGTAAATTATACATATATAATTTCATAAATTGTCATAAATAATACATAAATATTTTGTTTATGTCTCATTTGGTATATAGTCTGTGTGTGTGTGTGTGTGTGTTTGAGAGAGAGAGAGAGAGTGAGAGAGAGAGAGAGAGAGAGAGAGAGAGAGAGAGAGAGAGAGAGAGAGCAAAAGAGGGAATAGCACGGACCCTGAGTTGTTCAATTGGGAGCCAGGAAGGCTAGCCTGCAACTGGGCCTGGAAGATGGATTTTCTGTTAGGGGACAGCATGTAAAACTGTGAGAAATCTTGGAAGTAGCCTCCAGAGGTAAAACAGAAATCAGTCAGACATCTACAAATTCTAACATGTTAGGAAGAGTGTGAGAAGCCAGGTATGAGAGCAAGGAGGCAATCAAGACTAGTGTGATCCTAAGCAGAGAAGTCAGAAAGTGAGCCTGTGGGTTTCCCCAGAGATACAGGAACAGGATCAGCGCTTTGGGAAAGATGCTCACAGCCTTGGAAGACCCAGCCTAGGGACATGGGTGTCAGGGACGCAGAGGGCAAGGAAGCATCTTTGCTTCTGGCATCAGACCCAAGCCCACACCTCTACCCACCTCTCAGAGGATCAGAGGCAGCATAAATAAAGTAACTTGTTTGTCAACCTGCTGTTGCACAGGGGAAGTTCATTCGGATACACTTTGGAGCCACGGGGAAGCTAGCATCAGCGGACATTGAAACCTGTGAGTCCACACAATGTACAAAAATAATGCTTAGCTAAAGGCATAACTTGGGAACCTGCAATCTCATAGCTTTTGCTATTGTTGTTGTTGTTGCTACTTTAGATCTCCTGGAAAAATCCAGAGTGACATTCCAGTTATCCAGTGAAAGAAGTTACCACATTTTTTACCAAATCATGTCAAACAAGAAGCCAGAACTAATTGGTAAGCTCTGGAGATGCTGTTTGTAGCTTCTCCATCAGCAGTGGGAACAGTACCCTGACTGAGTGCTGCCTGATGAGTTAAAGCACCTTCATCTTTCACAGACTTGCTTCTGATTTCAACCAACCCCTTCGACTTCCCCTTCGTGAGCCAAGGAGAGGTCACAGTAGCCAGCATTGATGACAGCGAGGAACTGTTGGCAACTGATGTAAGCATGTGTTTATTTGTTTGCATAGAGCATTACAGTGTTCATGGACGGAGAGGCATCTTAATGTGCTCACTAGAAAATGGAGATCAAATGAGGATGCAGAGATACTAGCTGATTAGACTTACAGATTGTCCCAAGCCCATGCCACAATACTTCAAAATGGGAATCCATAAAGTCCTACAAAGCAGTCTCCCAGTTCTACTCTCTGCCATTTTGATACAAATCTCCTTTTTGCATTTATAATGCTTGTGAACATTACTTGGAAATTTTTAGCCTGCAGAAAAGTATAAAGCAGCAAAACAAAAGAAACCAAACCCCTCCACCCTGCAGTGACTGTTCCGTTTTCCCTTCTGCCTTCACCCCAGACTCACTACCTCCTCAGCACCCAGGGAAGATTCTCTGCATAACAGTAATAACTAAATGTGTCGAGAACTGTCCCATCACAGAGACAATGAACTTTACTTTCATTATGGACTTAAGTATTAAAAGTGTCTTTGACATGGGTGTCACAATTCCCCCATTTCATGGGTATAGAAAGCTGACTCTTCGAAGAATCTTTAAAGAAAAGACACAACTTTCCTGAAGATACAAGGAAATGCAAACATGTTTAGATCCAAGTGTACCCAACCAGGAGTGGGGTCTGTCTCCATTTTTGCTGACTCCACCCTCACAGAAACTTCAAAAGCTATAGAAATGAGTCCTGTCCTTCATCAGGACACATCTAGCACCTGCCACCTTTACCTTTATTTTGTGATGTTTCCAGGTAACACTGATTGCCTAAGGCAAGTAGAAATTTTGCATGATCAAATAAACCAATGGTTTTCCCAGTTTTCAGTTGGGGGAACACAAAGAAGAGTCAGGTTCATAACTGATGCTCCTACCCCAGAGGAAGGCTCTCTACGCCGTCCCTCGGTGTCTGTGGCAAATTAGTTTTCTGACATCTCGAATCCTCTGACAGTCACATCCTTTCTACAGAGTGCCATGCTCTTAGCATTCATTTGCCCATGTCCTTTAAGCGCTCCCTAGACTATGCTATATAGTCTAAGACAGCCTAAGTGATAGACAGCTGTATTATATAGATAGGTATGCGGGTCATGCATGTGGCTGAAGGCAGCTATGACTGAGGCCCAACAAAATCATAAACTTACTCTTAAAACTCTATTTTGCATTTTTAAAAATTATGCGGTTCTTGAACAGGAACTTTATAGATTACAATGTCGTGCCCAATATCAGCACAACCTGGAAAGTGGGAAAGCGTTGATAATATGCTTGGCACAGTGACTCCTCCCCAAATATTTTCAGTCCTTGGCGCTTGAATCCACAGACAGGGCTCCTCACACCGAACGTGTCAGTGTCTACACCTGAGTTCTCCTACTGCTCCCCGTACTGGTGGTATTTCTTCTGGGTGACAGTTAATGGTCTGAGAAAAGAATGCCTTTTGGAGATTATGTTCCCCAAGAGGTTCCGCAAACAGTTATGCTTTCTCTTTGTCCCTTCTAGAATTTAGTGAGAGTCTTTTAATGTAATGCAACCTCTCCCTGGGACATAGATATGCACCACTGAGATAGGAAATGGACTCAGGGATGACTGTCGTGGCTGTCTCTTTTCTGATCGCTGAGCCCCCCATCCTTCGCTAGATCCTGGGAAAGGCTCTTCTTGCCTACACAGGCATGCCTTCCCAGAGTGCCTCACTCTTTACTGTTATCCTGCTGACCCACTGGGTCTATCCTACCAATTCAGACATGTCCAGGCATGTTTCAACCCTATCAAAGGACAATGTGTGGACTGCAAACCAGTTACATAACCAACTTGTGTACCCCAGAGAAGGCCTTCTTGATGTTTTTGGTTTTGTCATTTGAAGAATTTATGAGCAAAATGGTTTTGAAATCAAATCAGCAAACACTAGATCCAGACTAGCTCTTGCCCCCATCCCATGATATCCTCTTTATAGGACTCTGGATAGGTTCTTGCCCTCAGAGGATCCTACTTCTGCACCCACAAGTTTGTATATCTATAAGATCTGTGAACATGAGGATGTGTGTGTGTGCGCACACACACACACACTCACTCATACTTACATAAGAATATCTATAAACCTACAAGGTATTATGTGGACTTAATAAGATAATATGTGATAGTGCCTCATCCAATACCTTATATAAAAGAAGAGCTCTATAAAAATGTGTCCTTTGCTCATCTGAAAATTGGTAATATCTCTGCTGACCTTCCTTCCCATGGCTAATATCCCATAGTGCATTTTCTAAATAATGTACAACTCTGTGGATTCCATGTTACAATGAAAAACTGAAATTTTTGGGCACGATTTCTCCATCACTGCCTATGCAATTTTTTTCCTCCGGTATTATATAGTGGTTTTCAAAATCTTCATTCAGAAAATAACCCATTTACATGTAGTGGGAAAGATCATAGCCAGTTCTTATCTGATGAAAGAAAAGAAATACTTCCTCCTCTTCCTATAATCTCCATTCACCTAAACAGACATATTTAAAACTGGGTTTTAGCCTTTAACATGACACATCACATATTCATATGCTTCTGTAATTCATATGCAAATGGTGTTTCATATGATACACAAAAAGGATCCCTGAGTCCCTTTTCTTCCTTCTAGAATGCCATTGACATCCTGGGTTTTAGCCCAGAGGAGAAAGTTGGGATCTACAAGCTGACGGGGGCCGTGATGCATTATGGGAACATGAAGTTCAAACAGAAGCAGAGAGAGGAACAAGCAGAGCCAGATGGCACTGAAGGTAACTGGACCTGAGGAGGAGAGTGGGGGTGGATTCCCCACCATGATGCTCATGTGTAGTTCGAACTTCTATGAAATAAGCTTTTCTGCTCTTCCAAAGTTATATACCTTAAATTTGAGTTGTTCAAGGTTCATTGCTCATGCCTTAAACAAGTCTACTCATTTCACTGAGACTTAGAGTGTCAAATCGCCACCTACTCTCACCATCGAAGTGTGCCCGATTTTTAAGGAGGACTTGAATGAATGGACTATTAGACTATTACTAAGTGAACTTCACTTTCTCTCTGTGTGTACTAATATCAATGCCCAGGATACTGTCCTGATAATTTGAACCAAAAATGAAAATTTCTGATAAAAAGGAAGTCAAGTTTTCTTCTTCCTGTCATTCCCACCCTGACATCTATTGAACTTGACTCTGAACCAAAGACTGGTAAACAACTCTTTTGTCTTTGTAATTCTCACCTAGCCACTCTCCACCTTACCCGGAGAAATCCTGGAAGTAAAGCTGAGGGAATTAGGAAGAGAGGAAAGGCAACAGAACCCACAACTCCCCATGTGGCCTATTCTTTGGCCTTTACTTCTTTCATGTGCATCCTAAAAGTTCTTTGAATAAAGGGGTGAATAATTGTGGGTTACCCCTAATGATCCTACCTGTTGGTTCCAACCCTGCAGTGTATGAATCTAGTTTGTTAAACCTGAAGGCATCAAGAAGGTTCTATAGGCAAGGCTTAAAGGTTAGGAAGATCTAAATGACCTTACTAGTGTGCTGCTAAGGCTCTCATGATCTGTTTCTTTCTGCCTGGATTAATCTCCCTTTTGCCGACTTAAAGTCATCTGATCAGTAGTATTACCACGGGTATGATAGCCTACCACACTCATAGACCCCACCCATGCTCAAGGGAAGATTATACAAGATGTGCACCAGGGGTATGTGTCTTGGGACCCATCTTAGATGCCTGTCTATCTCAGTGGTACATGGTGAAAGGAGAAACAATTCATAACAGGAAACATTTGACCCAGGACAATTATGGGGGCCTTTTTGGAGTAGAGGACAGTAAATTGGACTGCAAAGGATGCTTAGGATTCTGAAAGATACAGGGAGAGGCAGATACACTGTGGTAAGCAAGGAGGCAAGAGAGATGGTGTGTTGGGGACTGAGGAAGAGAGGAGATCCACTCTGGCTACAGAGAAAAGGATGTGTGGCAGATTTGCATTTGGGAAGCTGTATAAACCATGGCCAATCCAAGTAGCAGGGGCTTAAATCAGTCAGCAGTCAGCCTACTTCAAACATGGAATCTTGGAGAATATGTATCAGGATCCTCAACAAGCATGGATTGCATAGAAACACATTTTGATAGAGTCCCTGGCCCTCGTCCTGCCCTAGCGATCAGGTGCCTTGTGTTTACAGCAGAAAGAACCCCAACAAAAGAGACAGTGGGGAACTTAGTCAGGCGCAAGCACCTATGATGATCATGCCAACTTGTGTATGAAAAGCAGGCATCCACCAAACACTAGGCATGCCCCCCAGTAACCCTAAAACCCCAACACTGTCACTGCCTCCAATCTTGCAAACAACAAAACTAAAACCTGGAGAAACAAAAGCAAAATCCGCAGTCAGTCAGTCCATACTGGAGCCGGCAGTCTGATTCTCTTTGCTGCTGTACTGTTCCACAGCTGCTGAAAGCAAGGGAAAGGCCAGTGATTGGAGGACATGAGCATGGGTTGATCAAGTATAAGAGTGATGAACGATGAATAACTGGTCCCATCCACTTACGTGAGCAAAGCAAGAAGAAGTGATAGTTTGAGCAGAATAAAGTGTGCTTCTGACAGTTGATGAAGTACTTAACAAACACTACCCTGGGATTTAGTAAACCTGTCTCCATTAGCAGCAACAAGATGAGAGTCCCAGTCAGGGAAGGGTCTGCCTGGGAAGAGGCATTTCTCTGCCTTCGTGATGGGCTCAGCTGGCATCAGTAAATGCCCACAAAGTACACAAACCTATCTGCAGTCGTCATTGGCATTTTCCAGGCTTAGATATTGAGGAACTCCTACAACCACCATGTCATAGTTTTCCTTCTTTTGCTCTGATGAAAGCCATGATCAAAAGCAATCCAGGGGAGGAAGGGGTTTATTTGGCTTACAGGTTAGTTGCCAACGAGGGAAGCCAAAGCAGGAACTCAAGAGGAACCCGGGGATAACTCATGGTCAACTACCTATCTTAGACAACCCAGGGCCACCTGCATAGCAGTGGCACCACCTGCAGCAAGCTCTGCCCTCCATCAATTTGCAATCAAGAAAACGATTGCACACAAGACACGGCCACAGACCAGTCTGATGAAGGCAATGCCTCGTTTGTTATTGCTTCCTAATTTGTGTCAAGCAGATGGAAATTAGCCAGCTATATGCCCTCTGCAGCTGAACTCCCCTGTACAAACTATGATAGTATTGTGTAGAACTGATGCACACCCTCCACTCTACTGTAAATCATCTCTAGATGACTTTGACATCTGATACACTGTAAATAGCCAAGCTATAGTGCTCAGTCCAGAGGCAGTTTTTTGTTTGTTTTTGTGTTTGTGATTATTTTTTTGAGACAGGATCTCACTAAGTATCCCTGGCTAGTCGAAAACACACTATATAAATCAGGCTAGCCTAAAATTCACAGGGCTCCACTTAACTCTGCCTCTTGGGTACTAGAATTAAGGATGTGAGCCACCATGACTGGCAATACAATTACTTTTTTAACCCTACTTCTATTTTTCAGGGTGTGGGGGAGTTATATGTGTCAGGGTCCCTGTGTTGACATCTGAGGACAACTTAAAGGATTTAGTTCTCATCTTTCATTGCATGAATCCTGGAGATTAAACCTAGGTCATTAGGCTGGACAGAAAGCACCCTTACCTGCCAAGCCTTCTAGACATCCCAGGTGTAATTCTTTTTCTTAGCATTTTCAACTCATGGCTGGTGGGCCCACAGGTGTTCCCATGTAACTAATATGTTTTTGGTTTGGGGACTTTCAGTTTTGGGATTTTTTTTTGTTGTTGTTGTTTCAATTGTTGTTGTTGATTTGAGATAAGAGCTCTTTATGCAGTCCTGACGGTCCTGGAACTTGCATATAGACCAGCCTGGCCTAACCTCATAGAATTCTGCCTGTCTCTGACTCCCAAGTTTTGTGACAAACCCAGTATGCCACCATGCCCAGCTGACTAACATGTTAATGAAGCTTAAATATTAGTAGGTCAAAAATAAGTCAAAAAGCATATTATCTGGGCATGTACTCGGTAGGTGGTAGAGCGCTTGCAAGCCAAAAGCCCTGGATGATACTCTCAGTACCTAGAGAAAGGAAGGAAAACACAAGCTTACTGTGTGTAAAGCTTGCGCTTAGGAGATGGATTGGGAGTTATTGAGAACAAAAGGTCCCTGGACTATGGGTTGAAGCTTCACAGGCAAGTCCAGGCCTGGTAACACAAGAGAATACAGTGACTTCACAAAGAACTAAGAGATGTGTTTCTCGGAGGCTGCTGGGATAACTGGACAGTACTATGACTTCTGCTTCTGTACAGCACTGTGTCTTCTCTTTCCTCAGTGGCTGACAAAGCCGGGTACCTGATGGGACTAAATTCTGCAGAGATGCTGAAAGGCCTGTGCTGTCCGAGAGTGAAGGTTGGAAATGAATATGTCACCAAAGGACAGAACGTCCAGCAGGTAACAGACTCCCAGAATCCAGCTGACTTAGCTGGCCTGCTATCTGAATTGTGTCCCTGGCATTCTTCCAGTGACATCTGGAAAGTAGTATAAACTGACTTCAACATCAAGGTGGGAATTATCCTTAGATCTCAGAGGTGACCCAAGGGATGCCGATGCAGGCATGCTCACTAGGTATTATGAGGGATGGTACCCAGGAAATGAAGGCTGGGCTGCCTCTCTCTGACTCCTTTGGGGGTTCTACATACTATTAGCTCTCTCCTCTAGTGTGTCTTTGCTACATAAGCTCTCTCCATTCCTCCCAGCTGAGACCTCCCTTAGACCTTTTAAACTTACACCTCCATGCATCCACTTTAAACCTGAAATTCAGACCAGTATCTTGTGACCCCAATTCCAAATTTTATCAAGAAACACTAATTCATCCAACCTACATCAAGACTTCTCCTCTGCATGAAGCAGGGCCAGGGCTGTTATATGGTATAACCATGGCTGTTAAGAAACTATGTTCTTAGCCTGGCAGTGGTAGCACTTGCCTTTAATCCCAGCAGAAGCAGGCATCTCTGTGAGTTCAAGGCCAGCCTGGTCCACAAGAGCTAGTTCCAGGACAGGCTCCAAAGCTACAGAAAACCCTGTCTTAAAGAATAAAAAAATAAAAAATAAAACAAACCAAAAAAAAAAAAAAACAATAAAAACTGTTCTTGGTGGAATTGTTCTTAAAGAAAGGAGACTATCATGAGATAGACAGATGCATTAAGAAATCTTTAATAAGATACTAAATGATGTGAAATTGTCAACGTTCAACTACTTTTGACTATCATGATGTCAGTTTCATGCTTCAACTTAATGTAACCAATGAATGTAGAGTAATGACTTAACATGGATGTTAAATGGATGGTCCTTTCTCAAGGTGACCAACTCAGTGGGCGCCCTGGCCAAAGCTGTCTATGAGAAGATGTTCCTGTGGATGGTCACCCGCATCAACCAGCAGCTGGACACCAAGCAGCCCAGGCAGTACTTCATCGGGGTCTTGGACATTGCTGGCTTTGAGATCTTTGATGTGAGCTATTTAGACAAATGACTGGCTTACTCTGCTTAGCTCTGCTTCCAAATTCACTCACAGGGATTTTTCAGACTTAAATTCTTCCATTTTGCACCCAGTTCAACAGCCTGGAGCAGCTGTGCATCAACTTCACCAACGAGAAGCTGCAGCAGTTCTTCAACCACCACATGTTCGTGCTGGAGCAGGAGGAGTACAAGAAGGAAGGCATCGAGTGGGAGTTCATCGACTTCGGGATGGACCTGGCCGCCTGCATCGAGCTCATCGAGAAGGTGGAGATAGGCGTTCTTTCTTTCGTCCTTCCTAACTTCCTTTCTTCCTTTCTTCCTTTCTTTCTTTCTTTCTTTCTTTCTTTCTTTCTTTCTTTCTTTCTTCCTTCCTTCCTTCCTTCCTTCATTTCTTTCCTCCCTCCCTCCTTCCCTCTCTCTCTCTTTCCCTTCCTCCATGGTGGGCACCCCACTTTGCTCCTCTTCCCTTTCGGATAGCATCCCCTTTGCAGAGAGTGTAAGCTTAGAAAGAGGGAGACTCAGAAAGCACTCAGAGCTGTTGTCACACCTAAGGAGGCACCTGAGTGGTTAAAATACAAGACTACAAGCATGTCAGTGGAATCCCAGCATGCATTGTGGCATCTCTTACCTACTGACATGGCCCTAAATTCAAAGAGGACAGGCCAGGGACAGTGTCATTATTAGTGGGAAGCTACTGTAAAAACAAAGGATGACATTAACTTTTAACAAGAGACTTCCATGCTAGACCTGCTGGTACATTCCTGTTATCCCATCACCTGGGAATCTGAAATGGGAGGATTATTGCAGACTAATCTATCCAGCATAACTCCATTCTTAGTACCTACCACAATTCTGTGGCTGCATCAAACACACCAGGAGCCTTGCTGTGGCAGCTCACATTCCAGTACTCTTAGCACCACGATAGTGGCACCAAAGGATGTCTCTTTGCTTTCTCCAACCATGGAGTCACCAGAATGGCTTCTTAACCGTAAAGACATCATCTCTGTCATCCTCCTCCTAGCCAATGGGCATATTCTCCATCCTGGAAGAGGAGTGCATGTTCCCCAAAGCAACAGACACCTCCTTCAAGAACAAACTGTATGACCAGCATCTTGGAAAGTCCAACAACTTCCAGAAGCCCAAGCCAGCCAAAGGCAAGGCGGAAGCCCACTTCTCGCTGGTGCACTATGCGGGCACTGTAGACTATAACATCGCAGGCTGGCTGGACAAGAACAAGGACCCCCTGAATGAGACCGTGGTGGGGCTCTACCAGAAGTCTTCCCTGAAGCTGTTATCCTTCCTCTTTTCCAACTACGCTGGTGCAGAAGCAGGTGAGATTCTTTCTCCCTCGTGGAAAGTCCTGTGTAATTGTCCACACCCTAAAGCCGCTCATAGATAAATCAGCCCAACATGAGCTTCAAGTTCTCACCTCCATTTTTCTCCCTCATATTTCCCATGTTCTTCTTAAAACAGTGAGCTCCATGGAGGTAAATTGGGCTCTAACTGGGTAGATTGGATGGGGTAGTCAGTACTTCATTGTTTAATAATTTAAAAAAAAACTAAGGTGTAATAGAAATACAATAAAATTAGTGCTTAAAGAGTTCAGTCAGGTTTTATTTTTATACGTTTATAATGTTAGGCAATCATCACTACTATCTAATTTACGATTATCTTATTACCTCTATAATCTATATGTAACTCTCATCATTCCTGTTCCCGGGTCCTAGGAACCTCTGTTCTACCCTCCGTCTCTATGGGTTATTTTCTCAAAGTTGGTCAAGGTATCTGTCTTCTCACTTAGTGATAATACCAAGACATCGATATAAGGACCTGTGCAGTTATGGGCGTTGGAACTCCCTTTCTAGCTGAGGCTAGTTGAACGTGTGGGTAGCTTGGAAATCTCATAGAAGTGTAGTCAGATGTGATGAAGTCTTTTAGTCAGACTTAGTGTTTTCAAGGTTGGTGCATGCCAGGGCAGGTATTATGTCTGGATTCCTTTCTGCAGGCTATGCTATCTCCCTGCACAGCTGTCTTCGCTCTGTCTCTGCCTTCGCTAGTCAGTGGGTGTCTGGGCCGTCTCCACTTTCTGACTGCCCTTCTGTAAATGCAGATCTCTGGGTGCTTCTCTGTTGTCAGCTCCATGAGGGTACCCCTAGGAATAAAAATGCAGGGTTACATGGTGTCTTCACGTTTTTTCCAGTTGGTGCCATTAACATGAGGTAACTGTGCTTGTTTGAGACAGGGCCTCACTTTGCAGTTCAAGCTAGCCCATAATTCAGTATGTATCCCAGAATGCCCCAAACATGCAATCCTCCTGTCTCAAACTCCCAAGTACTAGGATGCCGGAGTGTGTTGTCACAGCCAGGCCCTATGTGCAATTATTTGGGAAACCCGCAGAAGTTGTTCCCAGCATAGGGACAGAGCAGCTGGCACCGATTGCCAAGGTTCCCAGTCCACTCGCACTCGGTGTGCTAATAGGTGTGACACACTACACAACCGCCCAAGATCTAGTTATAAAGTATTGACCGTTTAAATGCATGCATTTATTAGTTAATCTCTTTGATTTAAAATACATGCAAGATAATGACATGATTTTAAAAAGTTAATGTCTAGTTATTCTCTGGGCAGAGAATTATAATAAATGAGCACAATTTAAACTCGAATGATGAGATGGTTTTCTTTGGTACCTCTAACTGTCTCATGGGGCAGCCTCACTTAGGGACAGTGTCAAGACATTAGTAGAAGAACCTGTGGGTCTGACCAAAGGCCTTCTGGCCTTTCCTCCCTGACCCAAGTATACATCCCTGCCTGTCCCTGTAGACAGAGAGAGACAAATGGCAGAAGCACAAGGAAGAGAGAGCGAATATTTTCCCCCAAGCCGAACTGTGATTAAATTTCAGAGGCTGAATGGGAAAGAGAGCCATTCTGTAAAACCAGACCAGACACGACTGGTTTCAAGCTGAGATAATGAATTAGGTTGTTTCTCTTAGAAAAGAAAATAGGCTATAGAATTTTCTTGAAAAAAAAATATATAGTTTTGTTATTTTCAGTTTCTTCCTCATGAAGGCAGATTCCAGGATGCTAAGGCCTATTCTTATGATCCCAGCCCTGGGGTAGTTGAGGCAGAAGGATTGGTGCAAGTTCAAAGCCAGCCTGCTCTACAGAACAAGACCTGGTCTCAAAAATCAAAAGTGATTAATTAATAATAAAAGGAATGAACATATGAGACTCCATTCATGGAGAAGGAGGTCTCAACCCATTTGATTAAATGTCAGACTCCCCTAGGAAAGGATTGTCCCTCTACCCCAAGAATATGTACTATTCTCCCAGCTAAACGTCACCACATCCCACCCCAGCCCATTCGCACAGTGTTAAAGTTGAGTGTCCCCAAATCCGGGCAACTTAGGTGTATGCTGAGAACAATCCAACAAAACTTTGACTCCTTGGGCCCATATAGCCAACACTCCTGTGGCCAGCCAGCACTCCTGTGGCCAGGCAAGGATGAGGCACTCCTGATCCCTTCTCTGGGCCCCCTGTGCTGCTCCTGACCCCAGCTCTGTGTCACTCTGCAGGTGACTCGGCAGGAAGCAAGAAGGGAGGAAAGAAGAAGGGTTCCTCTTTCCAGACGGTGTCGGCTGTGTTCAGGGTATGCAGTTTCTTCCTCGTTGGCTTGTTTCTCTCCCCCAATGAAATGGTATGTGCTAAGAGAAATGTGCTTGCTTTGGTCTGCATCCTAGGAAAATTTAAACAAACTGATGACCAACTTAAGGAGCACCCATCCTCATTTTGTCCGATGCCTGATTCCCAACGAGACCAAGACTCCTGGTGAGTAACAACCCAGGCTAGCATTATTCAAAGAGAACAGGACTCTCGTGGATTTGTAGCCTTGTCCTAACAGGGTCCCCGGGACTCCTTACTACATGCTAGGGCTATAATCCAGTTACTGGCTTCAACACAATCCTACACCTTATGAAGTATAAGCGACTGTTTTCCATATTTTACAAATAAAAAAGTCAGAAATCAAGGCATGTTAGGTCTCAAGAAGTTTCTTTTCCCAAAGTCTAGCATTTTAGACAAAAGCCAGCGTACCCTGGCCTTTAAGAAGATGTCTGGGAAGGGAGGGGAGCAGAGAAAAAAGTATAGCGCAATAAAAAAAAATTTTTTTAAAAAGAAGGTAGTTTATACTTGCTAAAAGGAATCATTCTTGCAAAAGGGACCTACGGATTTTTCCATTAACCTACGCCCCATATACCATAAATACGCCTATTTACCATATCAAAGTGGACCGCTGGCTACCTGTCCTTCTCAGCCTTGGCCCACACAGAGTCCTGCCCCCCTTCAGCATATGTCTCACCCCATCCGCATCCCTCAGCCTCTCCAACACCTGACTGAGCCTCTCTTCCCTTCCCCCAGCCTCAGGGCTTCTATAGAACTCAGCTGCTTGTCCTCTTGGTCTCTGGGTTCCCAGGTACTCTCTTTTCTTCCTCTCTGGCTCTTCCCCTGTCCTCTCACGTCCTGGTTCAGTTTGCCAGTCCTGTCCAGTCTGGACCATTGCAGATGCCCGAGGCTATGCTCTTCCTCACTAAATTCCAGATGCCTGAGGCTATGCTCTTCCTCAGTCTACAGTAAATTCCAGATGCCCGAGGCTATGCCCTTCCTCACGTCTACAGTAAATCTCCTCAGCTCATACCAGGGAGCACTATGTCCTCATTTTTTTATTTTCCAAGGCAAACAAGTTCCCCCTTTCATGCAGTTGGTAAATAACACAGTTAGGTTTGAACTGGCAGGAATCTCATTCATGTATTGAAATATCCTGGGCTTCATTAATCTGCATAGTCATAACGTTTTGTGTATCTGCTAAAATTAAAAATCAGCAGATACTATGAAGAAATGTGAAAAATGAGAAATATAAACCAAAAGTAATGCACGTTATAAAATCAACAGAAATGAATACCAATATGGTTTTTAAAGAAATAAGAAAGTTTATTTGTATATTTAAATTTTTTCTCTAATATAACCAAGAAGTAGAAATGTTGAAAATTTTTCAAAAAGAATATTTCATCTTGTGACAAGGCTGGAAGAGAATTTAACAGCACCCTTGGGTTATGAGAGTCTCAAGAACCATTTAAATCGGTTTTTCTATTCAAAATATCAGTAAAATGAAGTCGTTACCATCAAAAGGGAAAGGAACAGAAGTGGGAGGAGACAGAGGGGAAGTAAACCAGATGCCTAAGGTTTCCTTCACAAATCCTCCTGGAATTCTGATAGATGTATTTTTTTCCTCCGGCTTCACCAATCTTTCTGCAGGGAATCCCCAGCTGGTGGGCCTTTGGGCAGCCATGGCATTGCTCTACGTCATTGGCACCTTCTGGTGTCATTGCTGTCGGCCGCACAGAGCTCGGCTTAGGGCAGCTGAGATGAACCCTTCTTGCTAACGAATTTAAGTGTGAAAGGTCAGGCATAGATGATAATTTTAGTGGGAGGGGCTACAGCTCCCGTCACATTCTGAAAACTGGTATAAGGGCCTGTAGGCATTCTAGAAAATTCTCTAAGTTGAAGTCCAAGACAGCCTGAGCAGCATCCCTCCCAGCTTATAGTGAGAAATCACCAGTGGTATCTCTCCTTTAACCCCCTGGCCAGGCTGGTTACCAAGAGTGGCTATGACATCTGTCATAGGCCCCTCTGGTCCCACTGGCCCCAACCTTTCTACTCAACCCCTGTTTCCTGAGGCAGGTGCTGAGCAAATGCCCACCAGCCCCACACGGAGCCTCCACTCCCTACTGTGGCTTTCTCCTCCCGGATTTTGTTTCTTATGTGACAGGCTCTGCATATTTGACATTTTAACCCCAGCAGAGATGGGAAGGAAGGCTCTCCAGGCTGTCTAACACGGAGTCCCAGGGCCTTTCCACACACCCCTGCCTTTCCTTGGAGTCAGTTAAAAATGGAGCCTCTGGCAGGATAAAGATTTCTCCCTATGGCCTTGAGGTGCTGAAATCTCCCCAAGACTGGGACATCTCCTTTGTGATACTTCTTAGACAAGTTGTAGTCACCCCACTTAGTGCTAATATCAACACACTCAAATTCAAGTTCATGGCGTCTCAGATCATCAAAGACAAATAATAAAAAGCCTCCCACTTCCCACCCCCACACTTTCCCCCCAGGTGTGATGGACCACTACTTGGTCATGCATCAGCTGCGCTGTAATGGGGTCCTGGAGGGTATCCGGATCTGCAGGAAAGGATTCCCCAGCCGAATCCTCTATGCTGACTTCAAACAGCGGTAGGTTGCCTCTTTGAAGTATCTATCGCCTTTGAGGACAACTTTTGCACACACACCCCAACCAAAGCACTGTTGGCCTCAGCAGTTGGTAAAAAAACAAGCCTCTCAGTGTTTCTGGACTTCATTGTGCTGGAAGGATAGACCCATGTCCACAGAGAGTCTGGAGATGGCCCTAACTGATCTATCAGTCATAGTCAGACCTAGCCTGACTTTCACTTTAAAGGGTTTCTCTCCGTAATGGACTTCTGGAAATATATGAGCCTTTGTATAGAGGTGCTCTTGTACATTAGCGGATCCTAGCCACATCTCTAGCCACTACCCAAAGATGCTGATAGCAAGCCACATTCCTGCCTTGTGACCACCAAAAATACCAAACATCAAGCCAGGAGGTGCTGGCGTACGTGTTTAATCCTAGCTCTAGGGAGGAGGCAGAGGCAGGCGGATTTCTGAGTTCTAGACCAGCCTGGTCTACAAGAGCTTGTTCCAGGACAGGCTCCAAAGCTACAGAGAAACCCTAATCTGCCAGTTGAAGCCCACTGCTCTAGAACACCTCTTTCCTTCTGGAAATCCAGAGCCCTTGAAAGGTAGGAAGAACAAAGTCTCCAAGTCACAGTTAAAGCCAAAGCTCTTCCAGGTCAGATAAGAGCCATTTCCTCTGAAGGCAAATTTTCTAAGACATGTGCATCTTCCTTCCTTCCTGCTTCTCTCCCTCTACCACACCCTAGAGCCCACCCCTCAACTCCCACCTCTCCCAGACTAGCAGCACAGCATTCACTACCTTAAGACCAGAGTAGAAGGTTCTAGAAGGTCTGGTCTCAGGTACAAGGCCATCCTGAAATGTCAAAACCATTGTCTCTTCTCAGGTACCGGATCCTTAACGCCAGTGCCATCCCAGAAGGGCAGTTCATTGACAGCAAGAACGCCTCTGAGAAACTCCTGAACTCCATCGATGTGGACCGGGAGCAGTTCCGGTTCGGCCATACCAAGGTGAGAACAGGTGGCCTGGAGACTCCCCAACCCTGGCTGCTAGTCAGCTGGTCAGAGGGAAGGGTCTTACATCTGGTCAACTTGACCAACCTTGTCTCATAGCCCAGGCAGAGGAGCCCTGTGACTATGGCTGAGGACTCTGGCTCTGTGTTAATTTTTAAGAGACAAAGATCGTAAGTTAGAAAAGAGAGCAGCAAGCAGGGGACACCTGGTGTCCTAGAGAGAAATTCTCAAAGGAGAATAAAGAGCCACAGAGTGCATAGAAAGTAGGACAAACTCCAGGATGAGTGATGACTTGAGAATGGTAATTACAACCATTGGAAGAACCAAAGTCATTGTGTGTGTGTGTGTGTGTGTGTAGGTGTGCATGTGTGTGTTCCCTGTGCACAGCCATTGAGAAGGGTAATTACAACCATTGGAAGTACTTCAAGGCACTGTGTGCATTGTGTGTTCCCTGTGCACAGCCATCCAGACACATTTCTCTGCCTCCTCACAATAACTAACGTGGGAGTTGATATGAAGATGTGTGCTTAATTCATTGAGTTCTTGGGAGGCCAGAGAAACAGAGGCCCCAGCAGGAGGCCTAGAGCCACTAATTACTCAAGGCCACTTGGAGAGATAACTCAGATAAGAAGCGCTGGGTGCCAAAGGGCTGTTTCTATCCTAACCTGACCCTGTGAAAGAAGTCTGGGCTCCCAGCTGGTCCAGAAGGTGCTCCTTCAGAGACACTGAAGGCAATGGATCTAAGGGAGGGACAGAGAGCCCAGAAGCTGGGAGACAGCTGCATCTGTGACTATCTCCAAATCTGGGCATAAATGAGCCCCATGGTAGTCTTGACTGTCTTGATGTAGGTTCTGCAGAGCTAGACAATGGGGCTGATGGGCCTGGGGCCTATGTGAGAGCCCACCGTCTTGCCAGTAGCCCAGAAGGTGCAAATACAGAGACCAAAGCCACTGAAAAGTGAGCCCTGGAAGCACTCAGGGTGTCAAGGCTGGAATTAGGAAGAAGCAGGTTCTACCCTGAGGCTGATTGGTCACCAGCAGAGGATGAAGTGGGCTCATCCCTCTTTTAACGCAGGTGTTTTTCAAAGCCGGGCTCCTGGGGCTTCTGGAGGAGATGAGAGATGAGAATCTGGTGACCCTGATGACGCGCACACAGGCAGTGTGCAGGGGCTACCTGATGAGGGTGGAGTTCAAGAAGATGATGGAGAGGAGGTAAGGCGGAGTCTCACCCTGCTTACCCACCCTGCCTCTGCAGCAGCAGGTCATCACTTCCGGCTTTGGGTCACTCGTCCATTCATTCATTCAATCCTTTGTTCAGCATTGACTGCGCAGCCGTCCTGTGCTCTGGGGATATGAAAAGGAACCCCGCCTGTTAGCAGTTCACAGAAGCATGGAAAACAGACCCATGCATGGACAGCTCCAATACTCACACAAGGTTATCATTAGAGCTATAGGCAGATGAAGAGGGACCTGGTATCAATAGACCTCTAGCCTGGTTGAGATATTGGAGTTGGCATGAAGGGCTCTACCTTCCTTCCTCCCCACCTTTTCATGCTGTGTCCAGTGCCCCCCCCACACACACACACCTACAGACCTACTCTGGTTCTAGATCCCCAAAGCGTAGGTGTACCCTCCTTCTACCCAGCTGAGAAGGATGCAAACTCTGGGACCTGCGAGGGAGGGGTTCAAGTGGAAAACGAGCTGCTAGAGAGAACTGTGGGTAATTAATCCGAGCTCTGTGGGTGCCCAGGGAGTCCATCTTCTGCATCCAGTACAACGTCCGCTCCTTCATGAATGTGAAGCACTGGCCCTGGATGAACCTGTTCTTCAAGATCAATCCTCTTCTGAAGAGCGCGGAGGCTGAGAAGGAGATGGCCACCATGAAGGAGGACTTCGAACGGGCCAAGGAGGAACTGGCTAGGTCTGAGGCTCGCCGGAAGGAGCTGGAGGAGAAAATGGTCTCCCTGCTGCAGGAAAAGAATGACCTCCAGTTGCAAGTCCAGTCTGTAAGTTTCTCCTACCTGGGTGTGTAAAACACAGATTCCCAGGACAGTGGAGGAGCCGGGAGGGCCCCACGAACTGTCTATTTAAGAGGCAGTGGTGCCACCCAGTGGTCATACCAGTATTGCACCACTACCCTGTCATAAGTAGGGCTGGTCCCGACAGAGCGAACTTGTGTTTTCTCCGCTCTCTTCTTTGTCTTCCACAACAGATTTTGACATATTTTTCCATAAACATGAAGGATAAGAGTATGGTATTATAATCAAAATTTGTCAGATCTGGGTATGATATAACTCATGCCTACTCAGAAGTCTAAGACAGGAGGATTGCCATGAGTTCAAGGCTAGCCTGGACTAAACTAAGATACCTAGGCAACAATGTCAGATCCTGTCTTAACAAAACAAAACAAAAAAAATCTGTCAAAAGTGCAGGCCTTTCCAAGCAGTGGTGGCACATACCTTTAATCCCAGCCCTCGGTAGGCAGAGGCATGTGGGTTTCTGTGAGTTCAGGGCCAGACTGGTCAATAGAGCAAGTTCCAGGACAGGCTCCAAAGCTACACAGAGAAACTCTGTCTTGAAAAACAAAAACAAAAATTAAATAAATAAATATAAATAAAGTACAGGCTTTAGCCCAGTGGGGGTGGCATAGCTTTTAATCCCATCACCGAGGAGGTAGAGACAGGCAAATCTCTAAGTTTGAGGCTAGGCTGGTCTGCAGAGTGAGTTCCAGGACAGCCAGGGCTACAGAGAGAAACCTTGTCTTAGGAGGAGGGATGCACATCTTGGGGCTGGAGAGGTGGCTCAGTGGATAAGAACACTTGTTCTTGCAGAAGAGCTGGATTCAGTTCCCAGCACCCACATGGTGGATCACAGCCACCTATAACTCCAGTTCTAGAGGATCCAACTCCTTCTGACCCTGTATACTAGGTGTGCATGCGGTGAACATACACGTATGCAGGCAAAACACTCACTCATACACACAAAACATATTTCGAATGCACACTTTTTTTTTAAAAAAAAGCATCGATAAAAATAAATCATTAAAATTAAATAACCCAACTGAAAGCAGAAAGTAATTTTCCACATATGATTTTCAATAATGTGATTATGCTCCAAACAGTGCTTTAGAGAATTCATTTTTTATCAAAGAAATGGGGAGGAGAAACAGAGTCACGTCTGCAGGCCACAACACTCTGGTAGATTAATTGTCTCCTTGAAATTTATAGTTTTTTTCTTAATAAACCCTCAGAGACTTCCTTTGGGTCTCTGGACCAAGAAAGCCACGTGCCCTTGCCTACACTTGCCCGATGGGAGTGAACTTACTTCGTTGGCACATCACCTCTCAGACTCAGAAGACTGGGTGTGGGGGGGGGTGCTAGAACCTGCTGGGCTGAACTCCCAGATTCCCCACTTGTTAGCAGTGTGACCTCAGTCCAGCTCGTTCTCCTTCTGCCTTCATTTTCCCATCTGAAAATAAACATCACAGCAGTACTCACAGCGGATGGTTGTCAAGGAATCCGAGGGCTTGACTCCATGTCCGGTGCCCAGTGTGTGCTTGGGCATATAGAAGTTCAGAAAGCTCAGTGAGGGTTCTTCCCAGGCCCTTCTTATCCGTGTCCCTGCAGTGTTGTATTTAGGGCTTAAATTCTCTACAATGGGAACATAATTTACCTTGAGAACATAATTAGCCAACTCATCTACCTCCACAAAACTTGCTACAGTCTTCTGGGACATGGACTTACTCTGTCACCTACCCATTTGTGTTTCTCATTTCTATTCTGTTGCTGGAGGAAGCTCAGCTAAGGGCACATGGACCAGCTCCATCTGTTGAAAGTTAACACGTAGCAGAGTTTTGAAAACATTAATATGTGTATAGCATGGAATACATGGGTCATGTGGGTTTGGGCCAGTGGAAGAATGAAATACTCAAACAACACATCCATCAAATGTTAGAGACTTTCTTGTTTACAATAAACGTGTGTCTCTATGAACGCCTTCGTGTTGGCTGTCAAGTGATACCATCAGTGGTTAAGAGAGCCCATAACTGACATGTGTGTAACACATGGTGCTGGTGTGCACCCGACCCACTCTTTAGTTCAGTTTAGGTGTGGGCTTTCAGAGGGTCAGGCCCTTTCTTCCCAGGGTTGACAAAGCGACAGATCAGAACTTGCGGTGATCCGGCTCTTCCAGGAAACAGAAAATCTGATGGACGCTGAGGAGCGGTGCGAGGGGCTCATCAAAAGCAAGATCCAACTGGAGGCCAAAGTCAAGGAGCTGAATGAGAGGCTGGAGGAGGAAGAGGAGATAAACTCGGAGCTGGTGGCCAAGAAGAGGAATCTGGAGGACAAATGCTCTTCTCTCAAGAGGGACATCGATGACCTGGAGTTGACCCTGACCAAGGTCGAGAAGGAGAAGCATGCCACGGAGAACAAGGTGAGCCACTGAAGGCTCCTCACAGGCTCTCAGCCAATCCTCACTCATGGCCTAGGAGTGGGATGAAGGAATTGGGGTCGGCCTGGTCTATATAACCAACAACTGGTAGGTTTGTTCTCTCCTCCTTGGCCTCCACTCCGTAGCCTCTCCTCAGCTCTTCCTGGGAGTGTTGCTAACTTACGTATTTCCTTAGTAGCAAGGAATGTGTCATTCTCGTCTTTATCTCTCATGTACCAAGTGTGGGGATAGCCAGAAAATGCCAACAGAGTCAGGGGATGAAGGAGGCAGAAAACTGGATAATGGTGAGGGTAGGGCAAAAATGGGACACAAGGATCCTCACGTGTTATTGGAAGGATGTAGAGGAAGCCAGTTGGCATCACTTAGTCCAATTAAGAATCTAGAGTTGAGGAGTGGTTAAGAGTACTGGCTGCTCTTCCAAATGTGGTTTACAAGTCTGTAACTTCAGTCCCAGAAGATTTGACTCTGGACTCTGTGGGCATGGTATATACATGGTATACACGATACATACATGCAAGGAAAACCACCCACACATATAAAACAAATCTTTCTAGGACTGATGGTGCACACCTTTAATCCCAGGATTCAGGAGGCAGAGGCAAGCAGATTTCTGTGAGTCTGGGTCCAGCCTGGTCTACATAGCAAGTTCCAGGAGAGCCAGAGCTACATAAAAACCAAAAAAAAGGGCTGGAGAAATGGCTCAGTGGTTAAGAGCTTTGCCTGCTCTTCCAAAGGTCCTGAGTTCAATTCCCAGCAACCACATGGTGGCTCACAACCATCTGTAATGGGGTCTGGTGCCCTCTTCTGGCCTGCAGGGATACATGCAGGCAGAACACTGAATACATAATAAAAAAAAAAACAAAACAAAACAAAACAAAAAAACTGGAAGGAATGAAGAGAAGAAGAAAGGGGGGACAGAGGGAGTGAGGAATTTACAGATGATTCTGTTCTGGATGTAATCCAAGGAAGTCTCCCATTTTGGCTTGGGGAACACGCATAAAGGTGTTCTTGCAGCAGCTCTGCTTGGGACAGAGCTGGGGACCATGTCGCAGGATGGAGAGGTGGACTGTGGTGGAGTCACACAGAGAGCACAGTGCACCAGTGGGGCACCAGAGGTGGGTGAATCTGGTATCCAAGATGAATATGAAGCACCCAGTTCTCACAGGGGAGAAGTGTAAGTGAGGGTCACGAGCAGCGTGATGACATTTACACACAGGAAAGGTCTGTGCACACAGCACAAAAGCATATGCTTGGCAAGGATCCTTAAAAGCTTGGCATGATTCACCTAATAAAGGCTACCCGTGAGGCGGGACAAAAGGGTGGCCTGCTGGGTGTGAGATGACAATGACAATGACAGCTGACACTCAGAGTCAGTGATGGATAAACAAGAGTGATGGGAATAGACAAAAGGGAGGGTGGAGACTGGCAAATACCTGCCCTTCTCACCCACAGGCCTAGGCCTGCCCTTCTCATGGGTGGCAGCCATGATTCAGCCCCAGCAAACGGTTGTCAGGTAGGAGTGTGAGGCCAGTACAGCTGGAGGTTTGGAAATTCATGAGAAGCCAAAAATCCAGATTTTCTGTAGACTCTTACTTTCCAATATTGATAACATTTCAAAAATTTATCAATTAAATATATCTATAGATGGATTTAGGCCACAGGTAGGAGTTAGCAACCTCTCATCTGGAAGACTGTTGTTCAATGAAGATTCGCTTTAATGCTCAGAAGCTCCAGGCCTGGTGCCCAGGTTCCATCCTGTCAGCACATCTGGATTTCCTTGCCTTACACCTTGGGCCTCTCCCTCCCCTTCCTGCTTCTTCCTGAACATCAGCCTCCCTTCCCATCAGCCTGCCTGCTAACTGCTTGGTTGTGTACGATGAGTAAACACAGATTGATCTGTTGCCCTTCACACCCAGTGGATCTGCATTTTAATAGTGTCCTTCCTAGTGAAATATAGCGTGTTCTGGAAGAATCTGAGACACCATGATAGGCCAGGGGTCAGGGGAAAGGACTAGAAGTGGGAAGGCTGGGCTGTAGATCACTTGGTGGAACATTTACTTAGCACGGACAAAGCCCTGTGTTTGATCCCAGAACCACGTACAACTAAACATGGTGGCCTATGCCTGCATTTTTGTATTTGGAAGGGAGAGTCAGGGAGCTTGGGAGTCTGAGATTAGCCTGACTGATGTTAAGTTTGATGTCACTTTAGGCCACATGAGGGCTTGTCTCATAAAACTCTGCCAGGCAGGCTAGCTCGTACAGTGATGCTTGCCTTGTCTTGACTTCACAGGAGGCCAAAGCAAAAAGATCTCTTAAACCTGGGAGTTTGGAACCAGCCTGAAAACTGTTCAAAGACCTTTCCCCAAAATAGGATGAAATAAAATTAAAATGATAAAAAAAATTTAAAAAAAAAATGAACCGAAAAGTTACCTGTCCCTGAATGCTATGAAGCTAGAGAGACAGGAGGCCCCCACAGTTCTTGCTGTTGGGAATCGCTGGATTAACTGTGTCAGTAGTAAATGAGTGACTCTTGATTTGCTCCTAGGTGAAAAATCTCTCTGAAGAAATGACGGCGCTTGAAGAAACCATTTCCAAACTGACGAAAGAAAAGAAGTCTCTCCAGGAGGCCCATCAGCAGACGCTGGATGACCTACAGGCTGAAGAAGATAAAGTTAACGGTCTCATCAAGATCAATGTCAAGCTGGAACAGCAGACAGATGACGTGAGAATGCATGACCTCTGTGCTTTGTAAAGAAGGGACTGAGTAGGAACCAGTCTAGAGAGCTTGCGCGCTGGAATCAGAGCCCGGGGCCAGATTCCAGCTGTGCCCTGACCCCAGACACACATAGCTGAGGTGACCAGCAGGTCGCATGACCTTGTGAGGCCTCAGGTCCCACTTATAAGTTAGGGATACATACAAAGAGCTGGACTTCAGGGGACGTCTCAGGAAAGTGCTCAACATAACGTTTTCAGTGAAACAAAAAACCGCTTCTGTCGTTAGCGCCCACTTGTAGGCAGTTTGGGTTTACAGACTTCCAATTCTACTCTACAGTGTTTAAAGCCTTGTTCTAGGCAAGGGTGTCTCTCAGTGGTACAGCATGCACGGGGCCCTGACTTCCACCTGTAACACCTCAAAACAAAGCTTCCATTTAAATGAACAAAAATTTTTGTTCATGATGTAAGAGCCAGGTTTCATGCTAGCCGGTTTTGGTCCCTGCTGTAGTTAGACTTTCCATAGGTCTACTTTAACGAGGCCAGGGTAGGTATGTTTCCTGCTACACCCTTCTTTTCCTGAGCCCAATCCTACACACACACACACACACACACACACACACACACACACACACACGCACACAGTTCCTGGCTGACTGCCCTCAGGGCTGGGAGGTGTAGGTGGTGGTGAGGAGTGACAGGTCTCTATAGCCTCTGTCACAGGTGCCCACTTGGTCCTTTGGGAGATGCGGCCTGGGACAGGCCAAGTGGAAATGATCTGAAAAGAGGTACCAGGAGGGCCCCAAGATGTCCACTCCCTAAGATACAGAACAGAGACAGAAAAATGGAGGACGGAAGGCTGGCTTCCTTCTGGGGCTGGAGGTCACAGGGCATGCGTGGAACAATGCTGGCCGATGTGCTTCAGCCTGCTTCCTCAGCCATGTCCCAGGCTCTCTTTCCACCTGTGTCTTCCCAGCTCGAGGGCAGTTTAGAGCAGGAGAAGAAACTGCGGGCTGACCTGGAGCGAGTGAAGAGGAAGCTGGAAGGAGACTTGAAAATGTCCCAGGAGTCCATCATGGATCTGGAGAACGACAAGCAGCAAATAGAAGACAAACTGAAGAAGTAGACGATTCATGTTCTGTCCCTTCCCCCGCCCCATTTGAGACAGAAAGCCAAGTGCGCCTCCCCTCAGCGGCCTTTGTCTCATGCTGTTTTGTTCATTTGTTCTGTCTGCTTGCAGAAAGGAGTTTGAAATGAGCCAGCTACAGACCCGAATCGATGACGAACAAGTTCTCAGTCTGCAGCAGCAGAAGAAGATTAAAGAGCTGCAGGTGAAGGCGCAGAGCTTGCCTGCAAGCGCCCGGCTTGCCCTCCCCCATTTTGCTTTTCTACTTTAGCAGAGTTGTTCTTTTCTTTCTCCTCCCTGCCTCAGCAGCAGGCCGCCACAGTGGGCCTTCTTCTGTAGTTTCTGCAATAAATATTCAGACTTTCCTAAGTGGCATTTAAGTATATACTTCCTTTGAAAGAATCAGAATGTGATCTAAGGGCCAGTTGTTGCTGGTCAAGGTGCACTGACCACTGTCCCTAAGTCCATGCCCCCCTCAGTCTCCTGAGAAGGAACTGCCAGTGTCAGGTGGATATGGATCATTCGGGATGCTTTTGGTACGTGTTTATGGATTTGTTGAAGACCCAGAGAAAAGATATGGTGTGTGTGAGATTTTGTTCACACGTCTTCATGTTTTCAGCATATATCTTTTCGTCCTAAGCATGCAACTTATTTCTTTCAAACATCAGGAGGTTCTGCAGGGCTTTCCATTGCGGACTTGCTGCAGCATTGCATTGCTGCTTGGCACCAGGGCAAGCCCTCATCACAACTGACTGACTGTTCCCCTGCTGATGGACACTTAGGCTGTCTCCCAACAACTGCCGTTGGTCCTTTGTCCCTTACTCAATGATAACATATCCTCCACTTGGCGCTGCCTATCCCCATTCCTTTAGCACCTAGTCGCTCCTGAAACAGATTGGTCTCTACCCGGCCACCTTTAACTCCACTGACCCTTTCAGGCCCGCACAGAAGAGCTGGAAGAAGAAATTGAAGCAGAACACACAGTCAGAGCCAAAATTGAGAAGCAGCGTTCAGACCTAGCCAGGGAACTAGAGGAGATCAGCGAGAGGCTGGAAGAAGCCAGTGGAGCCACTTCTGCCCAGATCGAGATGAACAAGAAGAGAGAAACTGAGTTCCAGAAACTCCGCAGGGACCTGGAGGAGGCCACCCTGCAGCATGAAGCCACAGCGGCCACCCTGAGGAAGAAGCACGCGGATACCGTGGCGGAGCTTGGGGAGCAGATCGACAACCTGCAGCGGGTCAAGCAGAAGCTGGAGAAGGAGAAGAGCGAGCTGAAGATGGAGATCGACGACATGGCCAGCAACATTGAGACAGTCTCCAAGTCCAAGGTATGACTACCCCTCGTGGCCTCTGCAGTCATGTCTTCCCACCCTTTGAGCAAGTGGGGTTTGATGCGCCAAACTCACTGTGTGCTCTTGACTGTTAGCCTTCTTCCCTGCTGAGTTTTCCAACTCCTCAAATTCATTCAAGCTACATGTCCGAAATGCCTGAAGCTACTACAGCAAAATACCTTAGGCTGGGTGATTTTTATAAACAGAAGTGTTGCTTCCAGTCTAAGGAAAGCATATGCTCACTTTATTCTAGATTTTATGGGGAGGGAAGAGAAGCGAAGTCTGAAACTTCGGTTTTCAGGGGTTTTGAACAAAACCTGTAACCAGGGGTGGACCAGAGGCTGGGATAGTGACACCCTCATCTCAATAACCCAGGAACCACTGTAGTGTTAAAAGAAACACGGAAACATGAACCCAGGGCTTGGGAACAGCATTCATCTGGCAATAGACTTGCTTCTCTTCCAGCATGATCCCAGGATTCCTGTGAGTGACATCGTATCAGAAACTGGTTTACTAATCACCAGATACATGCCTACCAAGCTGACATTCCACATTATTGTTTATTAAAGAGCCAATCACACACAAAAATAAAGCAAATCCAAAATGAGGATGATCCTTAAAACCAACTTTCATATGCTCTGTTTTCATTTGGCCCAACAAGAAGCCAGACTATCAAAGCATCCAGTTCTAACGCTGGACACCAGAAACCCACTTCCACATTCCCACTGGCCTTTTCGTTCCCCAGAGTAACATGGAAAGAATGTGCCGGTCTGTGGAAGACCAGTTTAATGAGATCAAAGCCAAGGATGACCAACAGACCCAGTTAATCCATGATCTGAACATGCAGAAGGCAAGGCTGCAGACCCAGAATGGTGAGGATGGCTTGCCTCCGGAGCCCCGCGGGGACATGGCGCTTAGCACCCGGCAATGCTTATGCGAAGCCACATCTGTTCGGCAGGGGAACTGAGCCACCAAGTAGAAGAGAAGGAGTCTCTGGTTTCACAACTAACCAAAAGCAAGCAGGCTCTCACCCAGCAGCTGGAGGAGCTCAAGAGACAGCTGGAGGAAGAGACCAAGGTAAGGTGGATGGAATGGTTGCAGGGTAGAACCTGAGAAGCCAAGTATTGCAACCCTCGAGTGAGGCTGACGGGAGGTGGGTGGCAACCCTTGGGTATGGCTGATGGGAGGTGGGCTGTGGCCCTCGGGCATGGCTGATGGGAGGTGGGCTGTGACCCTCGGATGAGGGGAATGGAAGGTGGGCTGTGACCCTCGGGTGAGGGGGATGGGAGGAGGGTGGCCTGGAGGGAAGATGAGCTGGAGGCAGTACAGTATCAAGGATGAGTCTTCCCTCCGTCGTGGAGTGTCATAATAACCTGTCCCTGAATGATAGAGGACCTTGGCATTAGCTCTCTTCCCTCAGGACCAGAAAACCCTGTCTCTTTTACACCACCACCTCCCATAGGGTGGCCTGATGAACTTCCCCTCCTGTGAGGAGAGCCCCTTCCCACTACCACACTAGTTAGACCATCTCATGCAGAAATTCACCCAAGATGCTTAAAATGCTCTTTGTGGGCCTTCTCGTATAACATCTGTTCTTAAGTACCCTTTCTCCCAAAGGACTACATGGCCTAGGGAGAACCTTTGGGTGCTTTAACAGAAGCATCATCCTAATGCCAACTTCAGTATCTAGATATGGTCTATAACACATATAATCCAGTCTACCCACTGATCGATAAACTGCTCTCAGTGATTTTCCCCCACTGTGGTTGTGGATAGTAAATAAACCCTTAGCAGAACAGTGCACACAGTAAGTGCTACTGATGCCAGCATTTTGGGCATGAAAACAGGAGTCTGGCCATTTGAAAAACCCACATGAAAGGAATTTACTTTGATCTGGTTGCGAGTGCCGTGATCTGGGAGAGATTTACAAGGCAATCTTTAGAAATTCTCTATCTTTCATTTTTGGCAAAGAACAGTACCGTATTTATCTCTCATCTTTCTTTTCTGAGGGAAGGCTTTTGATGGACTAGGGAGCGAGGGAGGTTGGGTGAGAACCAGAGACTGAACAAGCAGCGTAGGTCACTGAAGGCCAGAGGCCACCCCATCTTGTCCCTCACTGCAGCTGTGAGACTCCTCCCTCAAGCAAAGTTCTGCCTTCTCTTGTCTTTTCTATAAATGATGAAAATGCAAAAATCATTGCCAATAGAACTGTTTTTCTTTGGTAGTGGCACCCAAAGATTTGTTGCAACTGTTAAAGCTAAGTGGTAAACATTTGTCATGTTTGGAAGGTCATGAGGGAGGGGAGGAGGCTCTGGACATCAATTCACACTGGTGGTCCCCAGTGTGGGGACACTGGTCTCTGGAGACACCAGATGATGGCTGTCGCTTTTTCGTGGTCACAGCATCCCATCATACTGCAGGACGTAGTAAGGAGGTGGTTTTCTTTTCAGCTGTTTTAATTCTCGCCATTACAGCCATGGAATGGTATCAATGTGAAAAATAGCCCTTTAGCAGCTGCTTTACTTTATTAAGAAACAGAGGGAGGGCAAGCCCTAAGCGCAGAGCCGCAGCATGCAACTGTCTAGATACATGTTGATGCTGTTGCTTTATGTCATTGTATATATTTCTAATGGTTGTTTTGGCAATTGGGAGGGAGTTGAGAGAGGATTTTACTATTTAGCTCAGGATGTCCTAGAACTCACCATGTACCTCAGACAGCCCTTGAATTCCCCATCTTCCTGCCTCAGCTTCCTAAGTACCAGGATTATAGATATGTGCTACCATGCATGGCTGGCTAAATATTATTGACTTTCTCTTTTATGGTATAATGCTTTCTTTAAGAAGTAAATATATTATAATTATAGAGGGAATTTTAACAATCAAACATTAGGTATGCTAATAACACAAAAGTTGTGAGGCAACATAGAAATGCTTCAAATTTGGAACAGCTATTTAAACGAACACATTTTTACTGGGAAGAAGGCCATGTGGTTTTGTAATTGATTACCGCTGTGATTCCCAGGCCAAGAACGCACTGGCCCATGCTCTGCAGTCCTCCCGCCACGACTGTGACCTGCTGCGGGAACAGTATGAGGAGGAGCAGGAAGGCAAAGCTGAGCTGCAGAGGGCGCTGTCCAAGGCCAACAGCGAGGTTGCCCAGTGGAGGACCAAATATGAGACGGATGCCATCCAGCGCACGGAGGAGCTGGAGGAGGCCAAGTATAGCCCAAATTCCCCATGGGAGAGAAGGTCCTAGAAAAGGCTCAGAAGGAGAGCAGTCCTTCAGATGGAGAAGCTCTTTCTCTCCTTTGCAGTTTCTTAAGCTTTCAGAGTGTCCCCCTCTTCTAGGGACTGTCTTTCCTTCCAGCTTAATTGGCGACTCCTTATAGGCTAGTTGTGCCACCAAGCATTTCGGGATTATTCTGGTGACACAGACACACAGCTCAACAATGGGAATGTGCTCTGTGAAATGTGTCATCAGGGACTTTATCATCATGAGAATCTTCTAGAGTGAGTCTGCAAACCAAATTGGTGTGAAAGCCAATCCTCCATAAAGCCTCTTGCTCAAGTCAAGGGACTCACTATTCCTGACATGTGTGAACTGCTGCCGGCCTGACAAAGGGTGGCACTTTAATGTAAATTTCTCTTTCAAAAGTGAAACAAGAAGTGTAGCATATCAAACACATACCCCCGTGACACAGCCGCTCACTGTCACTATGGAGTAAGCACCTACACAATGCTGCCTGTACCATGCTTTCCGATGACCAACAGCACAGTAGCTTTGCCTATTCCAGCATCCCACGAAAAGAATATGTGGTACTGCAAGGTTAGAAGGGCTGCTGTGTTGCTAGGTGATGGGAGTTTTGCACTTCTGTCATAGTCTGATGGCACCACGGTTCATTTTGTGGTCCATGGCTCCCCACTCACATGTCAGGTCTCAGTCAGCCTCCTTCAGACTGTCCATTCTCCTTCAACGTGATAGTTACTTGCTAAAATATCCCATTCTGCAGAGACAAAGTAACATCTGATTCTCTTAGGAAAAAGCTGGCCCAGAGGCTGCAGGAGGCAGAGGAGAACACCGAGGCTGCCAACTCCAAGTGTGCTTCCTTGGAGAAAACCAAGCAGAGGCTTCAGGGAGAAGTGGATGATCTGATGCTGGACCTGGATCGAGCCAACACAGCCTGTGCCGCTCTGGACAAGAAGCAGAGGAACTTCGACAAGGTCTTTCCCCAGCTGCTTCAAGGGCATGGTGGTCTCCGTGGTAGTCTTTCACACATGCATTTCATGAGCCTTGATTTCTACTTGGAAGATTCTTTGGGAACTTTCTTTACTTCTCTAATAGCTCCTTTAAGGGAAATTTACTTTTAGTCAAAGCTAATTCAAATTCTGATGAGCATGTCGTGTAGACTGAATATCTTTAATCCTCCACATCCGAGTCTGAAAGTTTTGAGCACCATGATGCTACGAAGGGAAGAAAATTCCATGTCTGACTTCATGTGACAGGTGGAAGTTAAAACATGAATATGCTGTGCTGGGGAAATGGCTCAGTGGGTAAAAATACTTGCCACCCAAGCATGAGAATCTGAGTTCAAGTCCCCGTAACCCACATGCAAGCTGAATACAAACCATGCACATCTGTGATCCCAGCACTCCTACTGGAAGATGAGAGACAGAGACAGGACAGTCCTCGGGAGCCCACAGGCCAGCTAGTCTGGCATACTCAGTGTCTCCCTCAAAGTGGAAGGAAAAGACCAATATCTGAGGTTGTCCTCTGACCTTCACAAGCACATCATGACATGCATACACCTATGTTCACACACAAATACTCTCACATACATAATGTACATTCACAAATGTCATGTACACACACATGCATGTCATATACTCATATATACCCGAAACACACAAGTATGCTGAAAGTGCTGTACAAAATTCCTTACGTCCACAATGTAGCATATGAAACATACTTGCATGGAGCTTGGGTCTCATCTTCAAAGTATCTCATGTCTATACAAATACTCCAAATTCTGGGGGAAATATACTGAGATCTGAAAAACTACCTGTCAACTCGGTGATACTCATCCTGTATTTTAAGAACCCAGCAGGGTATGTGTAGAGACATCAGACTTTGGAGTCTCGGGTCTAAAGTAGAGCCCACCTTCTTCCTTTGGTCCCCAAGGATGGAAGGATGAATGAAGCTTTGGCAGTGCTCACAGTCTTTGTTTGAACGCTC